TATAACTTGGTACACGTATTCATTAGGACTTAACGGTGATGTTTAGCACGTGACAATTTTTTCGATTTTGCCTTCGTTTGCGAGTTATACGGCTTTATCTAATCTAAAAAATTGTCACGAGCTAAATATCACCGTTAAGTCCTAATGAATTACGTGTATCAAGTTTTATCGAGCTACGTTCATTACCTTGGCAGATATTCCATGCTCACCGAATTTGAGAAGACCGGCCGCAAGCCCGGCTGTAAATTTGTCCGAGACGTCTCCATGGCGAGATCGCGCAAAACTGAGCAAACTACTCACTCACCACGCTCTTAAAAAATTGCAACGATTTCATTCCGACTTAAATTGCGCAGACAAATCGTTGCGAAAACTGAGCGTCTGGACCGGCCTTTACAAAAACAGTCACCAGCAAACGGCGCCGCTTGGAACAGCCGTTTACAGGTTATAGCGTGTAGCAGAAAAGTTCTTCCGATAACCAGGAAGCAGGAAAGTTGTGAAGAATAAAGCACTCAAGGACGGTTGTCGTCTGTAGTCGAGCAGGACGGTTATCGTCTGGAGTCGTGCAGGACGGTTATCGTCTGGAGTCAAGCAGGACGGTTGTCGTCTGGAGTCGAGCAGGACGGTTGTCGTCTGGAGTCGAGCAGGACGGTTGTCGTCTGGAGTCGAGCAGGACGGTTGTCGTCTGGAGTCGAGCAGGGCGAATAGCGTCTGGAGTCGAGCAGGACGGTTGTCGTCTGGAGTCGAGCAGGGCGAATAGCGTCTGGAGTCGAGCAGGACGGATTGCGTCGCTAGGAAATCTGGTTATGTCTTGCTGTGATGCGGCTCAAGGCGCGTAGTTACAGAGCGGCGCGAAGGCTGAGAGCGGGGTTTTTGGGATCACGTCTTGAAATGCGTGCTCACTCCTCACATCGGTAAGTTGCTAATCTCGAACTTGTAGACTTTGTAAGGTGATATCTGTCGCTGCATGGATTTTTGGACTAATGACAAGGAATGGCGAAGGGTCGGCTAGAGCTTATTGGATCTGGCTGAGCGCTGACCAGCTTTTTATAATTACCTCTCATTGCGTTCCACTTCAAGGTAAGCACAACCGTTCAATGACAGCTGAGTAATTTACGACTTCTGTTTCCCCTCCTTCCTTCCACAACGCTCTCATTATGACTATTAGTATTCGTGATTTTCGCTCCACATGTGCGCATGCTTGTTTGTAACTTGTTTCTGGTGACTAATATCACTATTAGGAGAGCTAATCAAAACGATGGGTATCCGGATCCTTGGAGAACAAATATTTAATTCAATTCACACCTCCAAGAATTATACACCTCACCAATACATAAACATTAACATGCATGAATTCCTGCATTATAACCATTCCATTACAAGGCTTGAATATTTTTGTTATTATCCACAAATTGGAAATTAATAAATAAATATGGCAGAATTTAAATTCTCATTTACGCGTGGAGGAAATGTGAACCTCCTAAGTAAAGAAATCTTAGAGGAACAAGCACTCTATCTATTTATTAAAAACTGGTATATGTGTAATTTAATTAGAATTTAATTGATGAATAATTTTTATTAATATTGTTTAGTGAATTTAGTGCTGCTTGCAAAGTTATTTTGGTACTATCGTAACAAAGTCGATTAGTATCATTCATAGAGAATTGAGAAATTATAAATAAAAAGATGCAGAATACATTAACAATGTATAAAATTAATAAGTAGTTAATAATCTTATCTACTGGAAAGCCTCAAAACATTACCTTCAGAAATAACAGAAAATTATCTTCCTAGTTTATATTTAAGAAAATTTTGCTAAACATTATATTCGCCGTTTGTTGTACGCATGAGCCCTTATTATTACTTTGGCTTATATGGAAAATAAATGAACTAATTTTATCCCTACGATGCAAACAAGTAATATAATCCTTGTAGCGTCACGTGCATCAGTACAGCACAAATTGCTTTGAAAATTGGTTTCAATTGCCCTCAAAGCGCCTCAGGCGAGCACGCAAAATGGCAACTTATTCAGGGGAAGCCGAGAAAATTGATTCCATTTTTTACAACCAAAAACCCGTCAGTAGGATAGCGCCTTGGGGGCTGTAGGTTTACTTGCTGACCTTGGTATGACTTTGCCTCAACTGCGACTTGAACATTCAAATGGACAACCACAGAGCAAATGAGCTTAACTTCGTCTTATTAAAGTAATAACAGGAGAACTGTTCATTAGAATTCTCGTCTCTTCCCTGAAATCACCATTGTATCCAAAGCCGCTCATTGTTCAGTAAGAAATACAATTCCATCCCTCCTTGCTCACGCCATACGCGTGTTCTGTGCGCACAAAGAACCAGACAAAGGCTGCTGACAACAACATTAACCCGCCACTGAATTTTTTTTAATATTAGTCTCGTCGAGGAGCAATAGTGGACCCGTGCACCTTCTTGATGTATGTTGTCATCCTAACGATTCCTCCGGCGATTTACCACAGGCCATTGTCTGTATCTATCAGCCGTAGCAAATTAGACTGTTAATAATGCGCAGATGAAATTTGGTGCTGGCATCAGCAAAGAGCAAGCGCGAAGAGTGAATGGACTTCCCGCAACTTCGCACTAAGATCTCTCAATATTTTCCTCGTCTGCGCTCTTACGTAACACCCAAACATCTTGCGGTTGCCGTAAATCTTCGGTGATCCTGTTTCAAAGTTTGTCCCGATTTTGTTAGATTATTATCCAAACAAGTTGTCTATTTGAATATTCAGTGTTAGCTGCAAGGGTTTCCAATCATTTTATTTCAAAATTTTTTGGACTTTTCGAATACCTATGTAATTATATTTTATATTTCATTTAAATTAGCTCGAGCTAAAATCCTACGTCTTTTAAATTCAGTGCATCTTTTTAAATAAATTACTCAGTCAGTGGAATCCTGAGCTTGCGAATAATAGGCCACTGATATCACCGTTGAAGGGCGAAGTTCATAACTCACCATTCTATTTACGGTGAATAGAATGCGTCAAATGTGTGTTAATGTTAAACACTTCCGTGTATTACCACATTAAAACTAACAGCAGTTACTAGACGACAGGAAAGAACAGGCAGGCTCCAATTTTAACAATTCCAAACGCTTGCGCTTGAATGACGTCTCATACGCAACATTGCCGTCTTCTAGAGGGAAAACGTTCTCTTCGCAAACGTACTCTTGCGGTTGTCCCGCAATTTATGGCATAAAATTGATGTCTCACGAATAAGTTTAGATTTCACGGCACGTCTGAAAAACGATTCTCGTGTGATATTCTGGCGGTGGGATTTTCTCTGATTTGCCGCGACGCAAATCGTCGTTCGATGGCACAAGCAATGCAAAATGCAAAACGTCGTGCTATTGCGGGAGAGATACTGCATAAATATAACATTTTAATAATGATTAAATAAAGCTCATAATTTGTCGGGTCATCTGACGCTGCTGCCGACCAGTGAAATTTAATAAGTTCTTTTTTATTAACATCTTGATTTATAAGGACGCACAGCGCATACAAATGATCGTCAAAGTTGCCATTAATAAATTTGGATAAAACGGAGCCTTGTAAAAATGAAGTATGAACATCTGCAGCGCAGGCTTGACTCAAGAAGATTGCCGAACCTACTGGAGGGCAATGGGTACACCAATTGAGTCATCGCCGCACGCATGGAACACGCTTCAGTTTTTGCGTCGCTACGGATATGAGCGCTGATTCAGAAACTATGAGCCCACTACTAAAAGGACTTACATATTTATCCCACCATTCATCATTGTGTAATAAATTAGGTTTGAATCGGGACTCAGAGTTTTTTTCACAACCGAACTAAAACCTTTTTTAGTTTTCTGGCATAAACAAGTTCTGCGTGGTTCTTAAATTGCTCGCGGATTTCAACATTTGGAGAGCGTGCATCGCATGTGATTGCAGGATCTTCATTAGAACTGTTCTGCAAATCTTCAATTGTTATTACAGAAATATACATCCTTTGGATAATGAAATCCAATACCTTTTCGAAGATATATTTCATGACTGAGAAGGAACATATTTTAAGCAGCGAACGCAGTAAAAAAAGCATTTCGTTATGAGTTTCTTAGCAACTTTGTCATTATTATTCAGCTATTTAGTCCACAAACGGTTACATGTTACATCGAATATAGAACTAATTGTGCCAATAACAAATTGTTTTATTTATATCTGCAATATTTTCCAGAAATTTATGTGATGCGAAGCTTGATTTTCTCATTTAAATATATAAAAAATACACTCATATATATTCCAAATTAAATATGTGGATAAATCAGTAGGCCCTACATGGAAAAGATATAACTCAGTACTCGATCACTGCAGTGAGTGACAGAGAGCGCATTTTCTCGTCGACGAAAACGTGAAGCATGGAAAGACGGACAGACAGACGGACGGAGAGACAGACGGACATGACGAGCACAATAGAACATTTTTTTATAAATGAGAAAATGCGCTAAAAAGAGGACAGGATGACCAACATGGTTTGTAAATTACCTTCAAACTTTATTAAAATATTGCGTCGGTTTGTTCATTAGTTTGTCTGAGCCGACAGCATTTTAAATTTTTTTCCACGACTTGAGATAATTCGTCTCAAAAACTCCACTCGTTGTTAAGTAGTGAATTTTGAAACTTACAAGACTTTGATTGTTTTCCATTTTCTCAACATTTTGTTAGGGGCGGGACTCCTCGGTACCAAGCCTTTATGTATGAATAGCATTGACCATGTATCCGTAGAAAAAGGGTTAACTGAGGTGAATTTGGGACTTATTCATCCAGTTTTGAAAGCGTTCTTTGAAGCTAAACTATCATCTCGAATTATATCACGAGTAACCAATAATTTCAATCCTCCATGGTAAGTTGACCAATTCCATAGGTTCTGGAGCAACGAGTATTTATGACTATGTAGTCATAACAACCCTTAAGGCTTCTCCTCGTACAGAAATGACTATAGGTTTCGAGAAAAACATCATTAATTGAAATTAGATTTATTTTAAATTCCTCACATCTCAGAACTTCTAAAACAGCCTAAGAAAGCGCTACAGAAAAGAAGTCTCCGAACACGATAGTTATCGTATACAGATTAGGTCAATGGGACATAGAAGTCAATAAAAACCTACTTGTGAAGCCTAATTAAATTGGCAGAAGGAGTTAGTTAAGTTAAAATATCAGCTGAATTTTTTTAAAGTAAATTTTGAATGCAGATATTAGACAGCTCTTCATGATTGAGTCTTATCTAAAACATTATTCAACTATTGTAATGATTTTTGAGTCACACTTGTGCTGGAGGGATTTTACGCTCTAATTTCGATGATCTCAACACAATATACTAATTATTTCGACAGTCAAAAACAATATTTCATAATTAAAGACAGTGTACACTGACGGCAATTAGGTGTAGAAATCCCTGCAATACTTCTCGGATGCAACCCAACAGCCTTTATAATATATGAAGAAATTTATATTCAAACAATCAATCCGTGTCCAAATTTTCCACGTCCAAATCCAAAACCTCCGAATCATCATCCCCAATATCCGTATCCTCGTCCCCAACCTCCGTATCCACGTCCCCAGCCACCGAAACCTCGTCCCCAACCACCGTATCCACGTCCCCAACCTCCGAATCCACGTCCCCACCCGAACTGAGGCTCAGGCTCGGGCATGGCTACGGCAAATGCCACTAAAACCACAAGGAGAGCGATCAGGAACTGCAAAAAGAAAGAAAAAATATTTAAAGCAACAACAAATAGAAGTTGGCTTCAAAGCAAAATGCGAATTTAACATTTGCAAGACTTTGCAAGTATTTCAATATTCGTTTCAATGCGAGATCGATCTTAAACTCAGCCATCAATGCAATCACTTATATGAGGAGGACAACTCTTGTACCGTTCTTGGCGACGATTTTAGCCATAATATAACGCTACATCACCGATTGAACAATTTTTTTGCTATCGCTAATTAATTGAAAATTTTAGTTGAAATTTATAAGGATGCACAATCAATAATCATATGCAAAGTATTTAAATGCAGATAAATTATTTATATGATAAATGGTCGCCAACTAGTTGGCTCATACTAAAATTACGAGTCTAAATGCACAGTCACGCGATCAGCAGCTTAATCAGCGAGAACTTTTCTTGATCAATTCCTTTCTCTCATCAGAAAAATGTCTTGCATTATCAAATATAAATGAAATTATTATTACGTCATTCATAATCATAGAAATTGGGAATGAAAATTAAAAATTTACAAAAAATAACAAACTTTCTTTGACTTGCACACGCTCCCGTAGACTTTTACTATTCGTAATGAAGAAACGCAAATGAATGGGACGGAAGATATTGATCGATGCACTGCTCATGCACCATCCTTATATAAATTACCGCTAATAGAAGCCTATGGGGAATATTGGAAAAAAATCAAGAGATTGCGCAGGGTGACCAGTAAGGGAAACGGAAACAAGAACAGGAGGTGGAATGGCACTTGGAGTATTTACAGCGAAGATGATTTGAGAAGAACACTGCAATTTTTTATCATGCCACAACATTGTTTTTCAAATTATTTAATTGGTAAATTTTCATTAGGAACAAATTCTACTGGCGGTACTTCCACTATATAGCCTCTTATTTACCATCTACCCCTAAAAGTTCAATTTCAATAATGATGCCAACTAATGAAAGTTTCACAAAGTTTTAGGGTGTGTAACAAAATCTACAAATAAACAATACGCAGTGTTCCACTTAATACACTGTGAATCTTCCAGTAGAATAAGCTGGAAAGCTCACAAGTAAATCGTACTCACCAGCTTCATTGTTTTGGTTGCTGAAGAAAGCAACTCGGCTAAAGAAGTTTAGTTTTAAGTTCAAAGAACGTACGTTGTTTTGCAAAGAACTGCACACTGGCAAGCCTGGTCGCTCTTTTATAGCACTACTGGTGACCTTCAAAATCCCACAATCGAACTGGTTTGACTTTCAGGACGATACTGGAAAATATAACTTATTATGACGTTCCTTAAGGGTGCATCCGGGGCTTCGGCGTTAGCCCCGCCGTACGCTCGAAGCTCAATTATACCGCCGACAATCCTCTTTTTCTACGCAATTCTGATCGTCGGATGACTGCACATGAATTTCAAGCAAGTTTCGAATATTGCCTAAACAGGGTGATGCACGTGTGGTGCTTCATAAGTTTATTTAATCGACTGAAGTTTGACTTTCAAGACGATACTGGCAAATATAACTTATTATGGCGTTCCTTAAGGGTGCATCCGGGGTTTAGGCGTTAACCCCGCCGTACGCTCGAAGCACAATTATACCGCCGACAATCCTCTTTTTCTACGCAATTCTGATCGTCGGATGACTGCACATGAATTTCAAGCAAGTTTCTAATATTGCCTACTCAGGGTGATGCACGCGTGGTGCTTCATAAGTTTATTTAATCGACTGAAGTGTCCCTCGGAAGACCTTTGAAAAATAGATGATATGCACCGATGCAAGTTTGAAGAATGGGCACGAATATTGTGATTTTTTACGCCAGTGTTGGCGTGAAATTCACGTTTTCTCCTCAGCAACTAGTAGCTAGCTTCCCGAAACAGTTTTACTTTTTATTATCCATCCCGAACAGGTCATTTTTAGTGTGCATACATGTTTTTATCTTGTGGAAATATGAAGCCTGGAGTTACAATTAATAAATACAATTAATTAATTGTTATAAAAAAAATAAAATACAATAAATTTATAAAAAAATTCATCACATAACATCAGATGCAAACACTGATGAGAAATATCGGCGAAAATTCAACTAGTATGATAAGTTGCAAAATAAATTATCATAAAATAAGTTACAATTATATTACTAGTCTACAATAGAATAGGAAGTTTGACAGATAAATTAATACTTTTCGTTCAACTCGCTTGCCTATTAATTATGCGAGTACAATAATTTTGTTAATGCGGATCTAGAATCATTACCATAATCATCGTTCACCTCTTAGTCTTCGCCCCATTGTTCAACTATAACCTTGTCCGCAAAATCCACCGCCACAGTATCCGTATCCTCCTCCATCACCAAATCCTCGTCCACCACCGAATCTCTCCCCAAAATCCTCGTCCACCACCGAATCTCTCCCCCAAATCCTCGCCCACCACCGAATCTCTCCCCAAATCCTCGTCCACCGCCGAATCTCTCCCCAAATCCTCGTCCACCACCGAATCCTCCCCCAAATCCTCGTCCACCACCAAATGCTTTCGATGATTGATAACTAAATATTGTGGAATATGAAGAAATTTGTAGGAATATTGGTAAATTGATAGCAACTGCGTGAATAGGCTTCAGTCCGCTGCATGAAATATGGATAGTGTGAGCTTAACGTAAACAAATTGAATTAGATGAGGCTTGATAAATAATACTTTGAAGTCAAACTAATATAAATGATAATGATTTAAATAATAATAAAAACCTTTGAAAATAAAACCCCTCATATATGTTCTTTGTCGAGAACAAAATTGAGTAATAATTTTGGTTCTAGACTGAGATCCGACATTATTGAAAAGAAATAAAACATTTAAAATGCAGGATTTACTCACCAGCTTCCATGTGCTGAGGGAGGTTGAGAAGACCCGAAGCCTGAGCGGAACTGTGATATCTGGAAGCACAGCTGACCGACCAATGACCATAATAGGAGTATATCCAATTATCCACTGGCGAGCGAAATTCTACGGAGGTAAATTTTATAGAACCGACAACACAACGTGCAATATATCTTTTCCTGCCAATTCTATGATATTATAACACTTGGCATGTCGGGTTCCGGCATGAACATGTCCAGTGTTCCGGCACCCTCACAAAAAGGTGCCGGAACCCTGGACAGGTGTAAAAAGCCGAAGTATTGAAAAAAGGTGTGAAAAGATTGAATGACCGTTTTAATCACAAGTTTGGCGTATTTATGATGATAAAAATGGCATCTGATTAAACCGCGGAGGAATAAATCATTTGTCTCTTCTCATCGTCTCAGTTCTGGAAGCTGCGGAAGCAGCTGGAATGTTTTGATAAATTGATCTTTCATAATCAAAATACTAAGAATTTCGTCGGTTTACGTGCTATGAATGTCTACTTGACATTCATAACGCCGTTCTGCAGCCAGATTAAAAATTGTAAAAAGTTTCCCGTTAGTTTTCATGTGAAATCGATCGAAGTCGTCAAAATTGTCAATTTTAATTGAAATTAAATTACTATTAATAATATTATTTTCAAAGTGCTTATTTTTTCATCGATCGATGATTTTATCCATTACTGTTATTCCCATTACTGTTATTAGATAGTACCAAATTTTTGTGGGAAATTTTTCCCACAATTAATAATTTTTGTAATCGTTTGTAAATTTGTCTATACGTCGTTTTCTGTTCATGTTGCGTTCGCAGTTTTGTTGTATTCAGTTTAGTTACGTAGTTTAAGTAGGTAGCAGTATCCGTAGGTTAGGGACTTCTTCATAAGCACTCATACCATTCAGACGTTCAATCTGGCTACGTGCCTTAACTCAAACTCTGCTAGTTCTCATTTATTCATTTCTGCACCTATACCATCACTTCAGCCAGCACAGCAACAGGACCTTCAGTTTCTAAATTTCTTCCTGGTTACTTTTTCACTATCTTTTTGTTGGTGTGAATGTTGCTTTTTTTCATATTAATTATTTACGCTCTATGTACAATATTTTTTCTATGGTACTCTAGACAAATCAATATTCAATTCAATTATAAATATCTCAAGTTTCTAATTGGCTACGTGGTCTCTGATATTGGCAGAGGAACTAGCTTCCTTTGCTGTGACCCACGATTTAATAACTTTATCTTCAAATTTCCAAAGTCAAAATCTCAAACTGTCCTTTCTATTTTTCCGTCTAGAGTACCTTCCTTTAACTGATTTCGTCTGTATTTCTAATTTGCCTCTTACTGAATGCATTAAGCACTGAGATGCACCAAAATCTTAGGTTTGTCAATTTAGTTATTTGTTGGTTATTGATACATAATTTGGAATTGTTTGCTACATAGCTAGTTTCTGATCAATTAATAGTTTAGTAAGTGGTTTAATTTTCATTTCAGTATCTGGGACCCGTCTGGGCAACACCATTGGGGAACTTGAGATTCTACATTCAACATACCTTCATTGAACCGCCCGTTCTTCAAAGATTTCTATACAACAGCATATGAATTATTGAATTCGGCTTCCTCATTCAACTGGCCCGAGCAACGTCAGTTGCACGTTGTATCAATCTGAATAAATATCAGCTGACTTTATTCTCTTTATTTTGTCCGATGGTGTGAGGCAATCTTTATTACTCACATTTTCACAATGTAAAATCCCAGGTATCTTATAAAATTAATTTTTTAACACATTTAAATGCTGAGTGACATTTAATTCCATTTGATTGAGCGGGCTATTTAATTATATATTTCGAAAATTCTAATGTAATCTTTGGCTTTTATGTTCTATAAATAATCAGGGAGTGTCGTTCAGCAACATTTTCTCGTGGCTTTTCTTTTTATCACTGACTACATTCCATCGATAAATAATGAGATTCTGAAATTTTCCAGCTGTGTAAAGAGACAATCATTCCAGTTCGGCTAAGTGTGATCCTGTAGCATCGTGTGTAATAGGCCTATGGCCTGTTGCCGACTCATGTACTTTCCGCGACTTGATTCACAAAGGATCCGGCATTTTGAACCCGATCTTTCCATAACTGCCGATTATTTGAGATAGCTGCTTGGCTTATTGCAAGGTCCGTAAGATGCCAGGCATTTCAAGACTGGGCATATGCTCCTGCATAGCTTCGTCTAGTCTGTTCTTGAAGGCGTTCATACTCGGAGCGTCAACGATGCCGTCAGGGAGACTGTTCCACATGTCGGTGACTCGAAGCGAAAAGAAATGTTGTCGTATGGATGTGTTACAACGCAGTTTTTTTAGTTTATAGCCGTGGCCCCTGGTGTTGGATCTTGTTTCAAATTCTAGTGATCCCTCTGGGGCCTTGAATAAACCTTGGGTATACTTGTTTACATCAATGAGGTCAACACGCAGATGTCGATAACAAAGGCTTGGAAGCTTCATAATCTTTAACCTTTCTTCATAATGCTTGCATTTTAATCCAGAAATTATCCATGTTGCACGTCTTTGAACACTCTCGATTAAATTTTTTTACTTTTCTAGTTTTCTAGCTTAATCGTGATTATTATTACTATAACCTTACCTGTGTGAAGACCTCCTGCTCAAACCATATTACTACTTGTATTAAATTTTGCTTTTCTGTTACTTAATTTGAATTTGTGCGAGTGTGTTTTCATTTTATTTTGTATCATTTAAATGCATGTTAGCACTTAGCGTTCGCTCGTTTAAGATCTTACTTAACTGGCTTTACTCCAGTGGTTGACACCCGTAGGGTTATTGGCTCCTTGGGGCTTTGGAGTTTAACTGATTTTGTCACTTGCCTTAATGCTGTGAATTTACTTGCATGCTGACATGCGCTTAACTATCTTTAAGTACGAGCGAACAATCCTTATACTGTTTTCCCTATTTTATTATTATTACCACGTTTTTCTTAGCTCGCTTTCGTGATGTTGTCTGGCACCAAACCTTAGTCACCCGCCACGCTTCGTACGGAGAGGTGCACTGCAAGTCGCTGCCGCCATCCTTGAGTGGAATTAAGCTACAGAAGCCTTGGTATCCTTGCTACATTGAGTGCCTATTGCGATGCGCGCGGGACTTTGTCGTGCTCTCCTGAACATTCACACTTATTGTCACGGAAAACCTATCTCCTCCTAGATTTTTTAAGCTACAGCAATGAGACATATACCATTCGATTTTTAAAGACCATACCTATCGAGTAACGAAGCCTTTTTTTAGATTTGTTCATAGTTTGGATTCAAAATGGGGAGAAGGGGGGGAGGAATCAGAAAAAAAATTTAAATGCGTGTAAAAAACTAAGGCAAAAATCAAAAATCAGGCTTCGTTACTCTATTGGTATGGTCTTTACAAATCTAATGGTATATGTCTCATCACTGTAGCTTCAACACTCTAGGAGGAGATAGATTTTTAAAGTAACTCCTTTTTTGGCCGTTTTCTATGAATTTCACGTTTGCTATGCATTTTTTCGAAAAAATCATACACACAAAATGTGATTCTTTTTTGGTTTTACATATATGTGTTAAATTTCAGGGAGATCCGTTCATAATTGTGAAAGTTTGGAGGGTATACTCCCTCCATAAAATATCGATGATATGCACCAATGAAGATTTGAACATTGGGCAAGAATATCGTGATTTTTTACACCTATTTTGGCGTGAAATTCACATTTACTGCTTATCAACTTGAGCAGAAATATTTTCCACTTTATATTTTCCACTCTGAACAGGTCGTTTTTAGTGTGCACTCAATTTTCATCTTGTGGAAATATAGATTAAAGTCCGCTTAAAATATAATTGATTAATAAAAAAATGAATTATTTAACAACAGACACAAAAACTGATGAGGAAAATCGGCGAAAATTCCACTAGTACGATAAGTTGCACAGTAAATTCTAATAAAATGAGTAACAATGATATTATTAGTACAATAGAGTAGGAAGTTTGGCAAATAAATGAATACTTTCCATTGAGCCCGCTTACCCATTGAAGTCACTTTGCGAGTACAACTTCTAAGTCTGAAAGGTCATCATATGTTAGCTTGTATACATATAAAGTTTAACGTCTGTTAATCATTTTGTTAATGTAGATCTAGAATCATTATCATAATCATCGTTCACCTCTTAGTCTTTGTCCTCCGAATCCACCGCCAAATACCAGTTTACCTAAACCGTGTCCGCAAAATCCACCGCCACCGTATCCGTCACAGCGTCCACCTCCGAATCCACCTCCAAATCCTCGTCCACCACCAAATCCTCGTCCACCACCAAATCCTCCCTATTCCTGTTCTGGCTCAGGCATCGCCGAAGCGAACTCTACACCCGCACAAGAACAAGAAACTTGAAAAAAATGAGATCCGCCTTCCTTAGGACAACGTTTTCTGCTGTCCGGAATTTGCATTACTGCTTCAGGATATTTCATTATAACGTAGGACTCCAAAATGTATTTGAAAATCAAATTTGCTTCTACGTATGTTTGGAGAATATAAGTACATTCAGGCTTGGTTGAACTAATCATTGTTCAAGTCTTAGATCAATAATGCATGGTATTCTAGAATTAGTACTGTGATCGTCATCTTGTGCCGGACTTTGTACAGGACTTTAGTTTTTGCTGTTAATACTTTGATAATAATACTCACATTTGTTACAAATATTAGCTCATATAAAGTGCTTACATTTTACTTGTAAAGCGAAGAAATGTATAAATTTTTTAGTATTTTTGTATTTTGTAGGATGTCATTTGTAGGATGTCTAACAACTCCGCTATTTTCTCGCAACTTCCACGAACATTTTGTCCCAAAAAGTATAATAAATTTTTCGTAGAGTATAAGTATAACCAAATTTTCATACAGTGTTCAATTATCCAAGTTCAATTACTTCCGTAGCTTCTTTGGCTTAGAAATTCTCAATATATGAAATAAAGTATTAGTACTACTTAAACTTTGTAGTAGTGGGAAATTTGCAGCAACACTTCATTACAATGCATAAATTATATGAGATATAATTTAAAAGGAAGCGAGAAGAAGTTTTACTTCAGACTGTAACGTTTGGCCAAATCCTTCGAAAAGCAACTAGGATAGAGCGATGTTCACAAAATTAATTTTTTAAATGCTTTCGATGATTGATAACTAAATATTGTGGAATATGAAGAAATTTGTAGGAATATTGGTAAATTGATAGCAACTGCACTAGAGTACCTTCCTTTAACTGATTTCGTCTGTATTTCTAATTTGCCTCTTACTGAATGCATTAAGCACTGAGATGCACCAAAATCTTAGGTTTGTCAATTTAGTTATTTGTTGGTTATTGATACATAATTTGGAATTGTTTGCTACATAGCTAGTTTCTGATCAATTAATAGTTTAGTAAGTGGTTTAATTTTCATTTCAGTATCTGGGACCCGTCTGGGCAACACCATTGGGGAACTTGAGATTCTACATTCAACATACCTTCATTGAACCGCCCGTTCTTCAAAGATTTCTATACAACAGCATATGAATTATTGAATTCGGCTTCCTCATTCAACTGGCCCGAGCAACGTCAGTTGCACGTTGTATCAATCTGAATAAATATCAGCTGACTTTATTCTCTTTATTTTGTCCGATGGTGTGAGGCAATCTTTATTACTCACATTTTCACAATGTAAAATCCCAGGTATCTTATAAAATTAATTTTTTAACACATTTAAATGCTGAGTGACATTTAATTCCATTTGATTGAGCGGGCTATTTAATTTCTTTTTCAATCCAATTTTAAGCTAAGTTTTATCTAAGCTTTTCTAAGCTTATCAATTTTTAACCAATCTCAATGCTTAGAAGTTTTTAATTTCGAAAATTAAGCAAGTCATCTGACGACTTTTTAACACATTCAAATACAAAGTTATTTTCATCTTTGTAAGTACTTACTTTGAATTAAGTAGCCTTTTTAAACCCATTCAGGGCTGCCTGATTTTTAATTTCGAAAATTATATTTCACGTAACGACTTCTTGAGTCATAACAGTCATAACATAACATATATATAGTGATGTCGGCGCTGAGGAGTAGGCCTGATGTGGCCTGTGGCCGATTCTTGCACTGTTCGTGACTTGTTCACAGAAGATCTAAAATCGTGTCGTAGCTTTTTACTGCATCTTTCTAAGACTGCATGACGATAGTTTGAAATAGCTACTAGACTCCCACCGGGTTCGATATGGTGCTAGGCATTTCAAGTCTGCTTAATCTAATCTGTTCTTAAACGCGTTCATACTTGGAGCGCCAACGATGTAATCAGGGAGGCTGTTCCACATGTCGGTGATTCGAAGCTAGAAGAAATCTTGTCGCGTGGATAAGTTGCAGCGCAGTTTTTTTAGTTTTTAGTCGTGGCCCCTGCATGGCTATGTCATTCGAAACATAATAATATCGAATAAATTGTAAATACAATGTAACTTAAAAGCATATTTTTTTAAAGAGTCTTGGGCAAAGTAATCTTCAAATTTCTGCTTTATTTCGAATTGAGGCATCACAAAATTTAACAATTTAAAATTTATTGCATTCCCTATTATAGGGAATATTTAATATTTTTTAATTATTTAATATTTTTTTTAATTTTGCCTAATTCACTACAGCGTGGGGGGCTCTAACGCAGCAGTATACTCCACTCGTTTCCTACATTCTCATTTCATCAATAATTTAAACTTACGGATACAAAATGTAGATTTAGGTGACTAATAGGCTGTAAAATCAATATAATTTGCTTTATTCACCATCAGAAAACAAAACACGTAGGAAATCGATAAACAATAAACCAGTTCTCGCTGTTGCACGCCGCCTCTTATAGTTTTATCATCACAGGAGTCAATTGCATTGCTGAACGGCTAATATTTATCTTAATCCTTAAATTTATTAATCATTCCTTAACTACCAGCTTTTGCTTAGCGTTTTCTGAAGTGTAAAATATCATGAAAATTTTCAAATATTCTGTCCCGTAGCGTTCTTTGACTTTGATATTTATGAACTTTATCTTGGAATTAGAACTTACTTTTGCATACAAAGAAATCCAAAATATGAGCAAAAATAAGAAATTAGAATTAATGGTCCTCCAGATATTAGTTAGTTCGAATCGGAAAATTATTTGCCGAATCCAAATCCACGTCCTCCGAATCCGCGTCCGCCAAATCCACGCCCACCAAATCCACGTCCGCCAAATCCTCGTCCACCACCAAATCCTCGTCCACCACCAAATCCACGTCCACCACCAAATCCGAATTGCGGTTCTGGCTCAGGCGTCGAAGAGACCAACGCCACAAAAGCCATGGCGACCAGGAGAACAGCAAGGAACTGGGAATAAAAATTAAACAATAACATGCCAGTCTTCCTGCCCAGCCTTCTGTCTGAAGTCATAACCAGAATCAGTGATGGAATCCTTTTTAGCGCATTTTCTTATTTATGGAAAAAATGCGCTATTGTGCTCGCCATGTCCGTCCGTCCGTCTGTCTGTCTGTCCGTCCGTGACTTCACGTTTTCGTCGGCGAGAAAATGCGCTCTCTGCCACTCACTGCAGTGAGTACTGAGTTATATTTTTTCCTTTCGCTGCGTTATGAAATTGGCACAGCACCTTTTTTCTACTTCTAAAATCAACAGAGTTAACATGGCACTGGAGTAGAACTTTTGAATTTCGTCCCATAGTGTATATTATTTTATTCACTGTAGAATAATGCCGATTCCCGCTTAAACAACCCAGATGGAATGGACAACCGAGTTGCCTAAATTTAACCATGTAATGAAGAACAAACGTAACAACTGCTTCAAACACACGCATTGTTATTATTGAGTACTGCGCATTTCGTTAGAGTGAGTTAACCTTACACATCTAGAAGATAAAATAATGTCATCACTGCAAATTTATTTAAACTTGAATATATTTCTTTAAATTTAGCAAGGACTTGGTGGTCAACCTTGAACCTGAAAGGTCCTCCTTAATTTCCTACATGAGGTTAAACTTGTTGTATGTCCAACGTTAAATTCGGTCTACATTTTACTAGCGTGAAAGTTTACCAACGAAAAATTCACGCGACTGCGTTAAAATTATATCAGTAGCCATGAATAACACATATCTAATACTGTTCTAAATCCTGCACCTAGCCATGTCATGAAATAAAATTTTTCATCGCCAGTTCAGCTGATTAATAAAGATATATTATCATTCGTGTTAGGTTGAATTTAATTTACTCGTATAAAGGAAAAGCACATAATATTTACAGCGGCTAAGTCAATGATTTTACTAAGCGAGAGAGTTTAATAAGTTAGCCTCATGCTATTGTAAAGTGCATGTTGTTCGCTAAAATTTATAAAAAATAAGATTGTACATTACAGTAGGCCATTATTATCATAAATGTGCCATTATTTCATGCATTGAAACTGATGCCTCATATTATAAATCTCTTCATATTCATGGACACATATAAAACTAAACTGGAAATAATTATTTTAATGGAAATAATTATTAATAACATAGAAAAATGACTGGAAATAATTATTAATAACATAGTGACCTGACTGAGTAGTGAATACTGCTACACTAAAGTAAAATTTGCATTAACATGCTAGATGCACTCACCAGCTTCATGGTGCTTTAATATGTTGAGAAGAAGTCAAGTTGAGAACTCGTGCTGGTGACAACGTAGGTTGTTGTTCTAGGCGGAACTGTGATATCTTGACACAGCGTTGACTATATATAGCATATCCATGGCCTTCAGAACTCTCCGCCGCCAGCTTTAATGAGAACATCTCAGTGGCAATAAATCTCTGTTTTTCTCAAGGCGAGGAAACCTAGACCTTCCCTTCAAGGTTATGAAAATGAAATAAAGATTATACTTTAATTTCTTCCGTAGTTTTTCGGTGGTACTCTATATATACTCGAAGAGCCATATACTGCATCTAATACAAGAAGTGTTTTTTCAAGGGCAGTGATTCTTAAACTGTTGTACGAGTACCGCTAGTTGCAGGAGCTATCTAGGTGAACACATAAAGTTTCTTGAATGATTTTGTATATTGTTCAAATCTTATTCAAAATATTCTTATTCTTCTTATTGCGTAAATTAATTATGGAATGATGCAAATAAAAGTGCATATTACAGGCTAATTTGTGGCATTAGTGTTACGCAGCAGGTACTAGGAAGCTATAGATATAATATAAAATTCGGTACCATCAAGTGATACTCCATCATAAGAAGATGGTTAGGAAAAACTGGTCTAAAGAAAACAATTGTGTCATTCGAGACAAAAAGATGTAATCAATTGTTATCAGATGCTCTTTTCACCAGAAAACGATATACAAAATTTGAATAATTGAATATGCATGAATATATCGGCAGATTTAATCGTAATTTTGTTGGCTTCAAGCTGATTTGTTGCTGTGAGGTGAAGCTTCCGCAATTTTTATTCTCCGCAATTGCTATTTATGATACATGCATTCTCCATTCTCCATGAGTCATATTTTGAAGTTCTGGCATAATTTTAAAAATATAACGGCTTTTCATTGGTAAAAAATTAACTTTTGATAAGTTATAAACACGAGTATATTCCCGATTAATGTTCAAACACACGTCGAATGTTCTTCATAGGGTTGTGAAAATTCCGTGTGCATCGGTTGATAATCGTGTGAATCCTTTTTCAGATTACGTCCATACATAAATAATATTCCATCAAGAAACAACAGTCGGCGTAACTCTAATTTCGTGACGTGACAATACATTTTCAGGCATCCCACAGCCTACAAATTTCTATTCAAGTCACACAAATGTACGCCATACAACATTATTCCTTCCATTGAAATTCCTTCCCCTTCCTCATTCTGGCGCAAGATCTCAGTTTTGACGCCTCGTGTTGACTTCGTGACACAAAAATCGTAAAAATTTGCAATATTCTTAGCCAGGAAACTCGGCAGTGAATTTGTGAGGACTGAGATAGTTAATTGCGGTCATTTCTCATTTGCGGCACCGACCCTTCACGCTCGAAGAATATTTCAATGATGTTAGAACTATATTTTAAAATTCGATTAAATTAATTCCAGATGAAAAACACTTTTCAGTAATGCAAATTTATAGTAGCAATTAGCCAAATATTTATAAAAACTGCCTAAAAATACCGTAGCCGCAGCCATTACGCATACCGCATAGCTTTTGTTACTTGGTTAATTAGTTCCTTTGCGCTGCTTCTACCTACGCGATATTCCTGGCCTCAACTGCGGCCAGTGTGGTGTGGAGTGAAGTTGCTGGTCAGTGAGTTCGTCGTTTAAAGTAGTTTGTACTGTTGAATGTCACACTGTAATTGTGTACTGTTATCTCTTCCAGACTAATGTAAAATTGTTTCAACCATCATAGCCCGCAATACCTTGTGTTTGTTTCAGCAATACGGATTGATAATAAAAATTTTCACTGTTCCATTCACCGTCTCATTGGCTACCTGTATGAAGTACACGCAGCAGTCAGTTCAACTTGAAGACCATTGTTTGATTGGTATGTAGCCACAATAAATTGTTATTCAGCGGTTACATATATAGTAACGCATTTATTGTGTTGGATTATATTTCTTCTATGCCCAAGCCAATAAATTCCGTCTTAAGTCCATTTCGAATTTTTATTTTTGCTCTTAGCCATTAAGAAAAATTTTGAATATTCTGAAGCAGGAGTCGCGCCAATAGATTGCTGGAAAGTAGTCTACAATTCTAGAAAACCGGAACTTGCAAAGTTGGAAGTAGGCAATGGGAACGGTCAATGTTAAGGTCATGAAAACAACCATGTAGGGCGAAGAATCATTTAATATAGAATGAACTAGGTAATTAACTAACATGGCATCAATCTGCCATAGGAAACGACGACAGAATTTGTCAGACATCAAATGCTGAAGTGTCATCTTAAATCTGCATTACCTTCAGTTAGGTTAGAAAATCTTTATTTTTGTGGCGTGATTTTTGTTCACTATTAGTTTTCATTTCAAGCATTTTATTTCAACTTTATATTTCCTCGCCGTATAAATTTCCAGTTTATGTATTCGCACTTTAATTTTCATCTTGTGAAAGAATCAATTCGTATATCATGTTTTGTGCATGTCAATTGTAAATGTCAGTTGTAGATACTAACATATTTACTCGCACGAATATCATTTTAAATTGATCACGTTCTACTAAATATTACGTATATGAATCTAGCTGAAATCAAATTTTCAATTATTAATTGGGGAAAGCACCATAAATGATTCTTCCTAATTACGTACCTATTTCATTTACCAACATAAAAAATTCAATTTTCAAAAATAAAACTTCCACAATAACCTCCTGCTTTTTTAATCCATCTATTATAATCAATGCAGCTTCTTTGCTAAATTTTTGCCTCGTCACTCTTCAGTCAAATGAATTGTTCACACCTCCGTCGTCCTGTGTTGGCAACTCCATCCCTGTTCTCCACGACCCATGCAGTAGCGTACTTACTAGTCGCCATATACCTTACTTACCACACCACTTCTATATGCATAATAGCTCACTTCCATAATGGTCACCATTAAAATCTTACATTGCTGAAAATTATGTTCACTTTCATGGTTGTTGAACAACATGATGGATTTCATTATGGCTATTGGACTTACTTGTTAGTTTTATTCTATGCCTTATAGCGTAACCAAATGTTACTTTCCCTGGAAGTATTAAAAAATGAAATGCAAGAAGCAATACGTCTACCAATTATTTTTTTTAGAGTTACAAGAACCGAATATAAAAAATCCGAGTACGTCCTTCTTGATTAATAAAATTGTGCGTGAATATACCGCTCCTGGTAATCCTTATACCGGAAGCGCAGCCGTGCACCACCACTTCTGTGCACCAATAAGCCCTGAATCGAACGCCTTGGATCTCTCCGGACATCCACCAATCAGCCGTGAACCACTCGGCTTTGTCCTATTCGGGCCTTGCATAAAACCTGCCGTGCACCTCCAGGCCGCGGATCGAATATATAACTCCCGGGCATCGTTAAGTTACGCATTTTACGCTCACCGCATTTGAGGTCAGATTTCAGATAGCATAGTTCTGTTTCAAAATTAATCGTCCTTCGACGAGTGGCCGTTCGGCCGAGGGCTGGTTCGACACACGGCCAAGATACGATTGTCCAGAAGTGTTGAAGGCTACGTTCCGGAAGGCAGGAATCATGATAGTCCATTACATCCAGGGCAGTGGTGGTCTTCGGCAGGCGACCTCTTTTACCTGCATGAGGTGGTCGCCTAACAAAGAACAAGGTTCATGGAGAAAACCCAATTTTACTAATGAAACGATAGTAATTAATGACTAAAATGAATGGAAGCAAATTCTTACAGTCCTCTAAACGTTTAAGTTGATTGTTGTAAGTAATATTCAATGAGATTCTAAACGAATTTTTGAAAGTAATTATTTCTAAAGTCATGGATACCACGACAGGATCTTCTCTGACGAGAATTCCTCCTGTACGTAGTGCAGCGTGGCGCCAGAGATGGGAAAGCTGAGGCACAATCCAAGCAATATTTTAATTAAACGACTACTTCAATGAACATATACAATCTGATATAGAAATGGTTATTTCAAGCACATTATAAATTGCATTCCACGTGACAAAAGGCACAATGTTGATCTGCCGAGTCTGATATGTTGATCCGTTACAAATTTTTCGAAGTAAATCTGCAATAATTAGGTTGGAACACGAGTTTTATTTTAAAATATTGGCCGTAGAAACGAAATCTGCAAAACATGTAAACATTCTCCTCTTCATACCCCAGGCAGCAAGGAGCTATGCCTGCTCAGCGCCCTGGTTCAAGCGAAATTTGATCAGATGCAATCTAAAAAAAAATCAGGTTAAAAAGCGGGCAACAATTTTTACTTTTGTAAATAAACCCATGTTTTATTGATAATTCTGTTTGACATGCATATTATTAAGATGCTTAAAATGTGAGACACAAATTTGAAATAAAAATTATCGAGATTTTCGTCTTTTTACTCAATATATGCTGGCAAAGGTTAATGTAGCGCTAGTCCCTGAGTCTTCATTCTGCATTATTTCTTCCCTCATCATTCCTCACTCTTCCTCATACCGGCAACAGAACATCTTGTAATTACGGTAATTTCGGGCACGCAAACAAATGGAAAAAAATCCAGAAGCCATTCCGGCTGCGAAATCGTGAAGACGATAAAATAATGCGATCTCTTATTCTGCTCATGCCGTTCTAAAAACGCTAATTACGTTGAACTCGACGATTTTGATGAATGCACTTCGGCTTCATTCGGACTGTACACCATCGTCCATCAATGCACGCACGGAAGAAATGTGGCCAATGTACAATTGTACATTACCGAAGCTCACAAAACTGGGCACAGACTCCTGGAAACATTTGCAATGGAAACGTTGCACCCTGATGCATATTTTCTTTCTGTTGGTCTGTTTTCTTAGATCCCGTTCAAAAAAAAAAAACAACCCCACAGATCCCGTTCAAAAGTCTTTCCTCTTAATTTTTTTAATTACACTGGTGCTCTGATGTATTTATATATCGCCGCGCCATCTTTCTTTTACATATGTTACTCCTCTAATTACGGAGAAGAATTATTCCCATTATATATTTCGAAAATTCTAATGTAATCTTTGGCTTTTATGTTCTATAAATAATCAGGGAGTGTCGTTCAGCGACATTTTCTCGTGGCTTTTCTTTTTATCAATGACTACATGCCATCGATAAATAATGAGATTCTGAAATTTTCCAGCTGTGTAAAGAGACACTAATTCCAGTTCGGCTAAGTGTGATCCTGTAGCAGCTTTTGATGGGCGCAGCTGTAGGCCACAAAATTTTCTCTTATATTAAGGAGCCCTGTAGCCAACGCCCAGCCTCACCATGTAATAGAATAGAATTGAAGTGTCGGCACAGAAGAAAGAGGCCCATGGCCTGTTGCCGATTCTTGTACTTTCCGTGACTTGATTCACAAAGTATCCGGCCTTTTGAACCCGATCTTTCCATAACTGACGATTATTTGAGATAGCTGCTTGACTTATTGCAAAGTCCGTTAGATGCTAGGCATTTCAAGCCTGGACATATGGTCCTGCAACGCTTTGTCATAGCTTTGTCTTGAAGACGTTCATACTAGGAGCGTCAACGATGCCATCAGGGCGACTGTTCCACATGTCGCCGATGATGTCGGTGACTCGAAGCGCAAGGAAATGTTGTCGTATGGATGTGTTACAACGCAGTTTTTTTCGTTTATAGCCGTGGTCCCTGGTGTTGGTTCTTGTTTCAAATTCTAGTAATCCTTTTGGGACCTTGAATAAACGATGGGTATACTTGTTTACTTCAATGAGGTCATCACGCAGACGTCGATAACTGAGGCTTGGAAGCACCATAATCTTTAACCTTTCTCCATAATGCTTGAATTTTAATCCCGAAATTATCCATGTTGCACGTCTTTGAACACTCGACTAAATTTTTGTCCTTTTCTAGTTTAGATGACCACGCGGCTTTTCCAAACTCTAGGTTCGGACGCACGACAGCGAAAAAATCTGCTTCATCGCTTCTGCATCTAGGTTCTCGTAAAAGCGTCTGATCAGTCAAAGTCGTTTATTGGCTTTATTAACTTGAGCTTCAATATGCTTAGAAAATTTCAACTCATTGTCGACATAAACTCTTAAATCTTTTTCCATTGTCGACTTCGACATCTGTTAAAACTTAAATTTAATTACGTCATTATTGTTTGTGCGCTTATCGTTTGTCTCGTGTCCAGAGTCCAGAGACATAGTCGACGCTCTTTAGCTCAATCGTGATTATTATTACCTTAGCCTTACTTGTGTGAAGACCTCCTGCTCAAATCGTAATACTACTTGTGTTAAATTTTGCTTTTCTGTTACTTAATTTGAGTTTGTACGAATGTTTTCATTTTATTTTGTGTCATTTAAACGCATGTTAGCACTTCAGTGTTCGCTCGTTTAAGATCTTACTTAACTGGCTTTACCCCAGTGGTTGAAACCCGTATGGCCGTATGGTTATTGGCTCCTTGGAGCTTCGGAGTTTAACCGATTTTGTCACTTGCCTTAGTGCTGTGAATTAACTTGCATGCTTGCATGCGTTTAAATCTCTTTAAGTACGAGCGAAAACTCCTTATACTGTTTTCACTATTTTCTTTCTTATAGTTCTCTACATGAGAACTCTTGTCTAGGATTCCTCAACGAAAACAAATAGGTTAGTTATTTTGATTATCTTAAAGTGTTATCATTATTTTTTATTTTACTTGAACCACACTGAAATCCTTTACGTTAAAACCTTGAATCCGTTAATGTTAGGCTTAAGCTGTTTATCTGTCTCATTCGGATAAGAATCCACCCAACCGCCTCTACTTGGTCATCCACCCTGTCATTTCTGTTTATTTGAACTGATCTGCTCGTTAATCATAGCGCTCGGTTGCCACCGGCAATATATCATTATATAGTGAGAATTGGAGTGAGAGAGACATTCGCCTGAAACAGTGACTCATTCATTTAAATTTGAATGTTGTTCTCCAGAATCCTAATATTCGAAACCCAAACTTATATCTACGTATTCTACCACAGTGAGTTCCACATAAAAGCTTATTGTTTCCTCTTGGCTTTGTTCAGCGAACTTCTTCATTTTGCGGAAACACTTCAGTAAAAGTTTCAACGGTTTCATTGTACTTTAATTTCCATTTGAACAAAAATTCAATATATCTTCACTCTCTCGTTGCAACCATACTGTAATCTTGCTGTTCATTGTTCTCGCCACGTTGGATTACTTTCACTTGTCAGCATTTAAAACGCAGCTGCCACGTATCAGCCGGTCAACTAACCTGCCAAGATCACCTTGCAACTGTACTTTTTGCGGCGTATTCTTCACTGTATTATAAACTTTTGTGTCCACCATACATCGAGCACAAGCTAGACACAGCTTTTCGCAGATCGTTTATAAACGCAACGAAAAAAACAGGCCCGAGAACGCTTCCTTGTGGCACGCCGCTGCACACTGAAGTCCAGTCTGATACGTCCCATTACTACTGACACGTTGTCAACCTGCTAGAAAATCTCTGATCCATTTGAGTACATTACTCAAATTACATTCATTTTAGTACATTACATTTCCAGTTGGCCGGCAAGATCCCTTCGTTCAAAGTTTTTTCGAAAAAATGCCTTACAAGGGCCGGCTAGGACGGTTGCTAACTCTTTGAGTAATCTGGGGTGGAAGCCGTCAGGTCCACATGACTGGTCAGGATTTAGAGCGACCAGGCGCTAGAGAACATCGTCTTCTTGTACTTCAAAACTTGTAATTTAGTGCCGACTGGGCGCTCCTCAATAGCTGGAATACTGTTCAAGCCCTCGTCTGTGAATACGCTACTAAAAAAACTGATTATAAGAACGTAAGCCTTGCCCTCATCAGTGGATATCATTCGTTGATCTACTTTCAAATCAGAAATACCGTCCTCTGTCTTACACTTCGAGCTAGCGTACAAAAAGAATGCTTTCGGGATCTTTTTTGCATTTTTGATAATATTTTTTTCGGATATCTTTACTGCGGTGCGACAGCTTTCTTTAGCTTGTTTTCGAGCTCTTGCGTATGAGTTATAATCAGCATCGCTACCTATCTGTCAAAAACGCTGGTAGGCTTCCATCTTGGTTTTCAGCTTAGCTAGAACTCTACTATTCATCCACAGAGTTTTTTTTTATTATTCACCGAGCTAAATTTTAGGTACACATTCATCAACTGCAGACGTACTGTACATAACCGTGTCCGTGAGAAATTACCATGACTCAGCCACATTCATGTACTTAATACAGTTAGAAATATTCACTGCATTCACTGCTTCACGGAGTTTATCATAGTCGCTTTTCGCTAAATTCAAACGCCCTCGCTTCCGTTGTGTCTTTCCCCTACAGCACCTAATACTGGAAAACAATGAGTGGTGATGGCTTTTGCCCAATAAAGCCTCGTGACGAAGCTCATCTAACATTGATTCATCACTAGTAAACACCAGGTCCAGAATATGAGGAGTCTGTTTACTGCTACAATGGTTTGGCTTGGTAACGTGCCGGACTAAGGAGTCTCTCACTGACTCCATGTGAGAGGATGCTTGGTAATTCCCGTTCCTCGGAAAGGATCCTTCTGTCCAATCTAGTTCTGGATCATTAATTTCACCAACGTGTGTGACCTACGGAAAGTCATGCTCGGTAAACGACTGTTTAGTACTTTATCGTTATCAGAGGAACTGTTTGGTTATCTATACAAGACGCCTATGAGGAGGCTATCTTTGCCTTTGAGAGCAAGTTCGCATGCACCACACTGATTCTCTAGCTGATTGGTGCTCTTTAGACAACTGCACTTTTTGGGCCCTATAAGGGGTTTTGACCCACAACGCTACACCTCTGCTGCACCGCTCTTCGCCTATGTTGTGAAAATCTTCGCCTATCAAAACTGAAAGTCAACTGGTACAATATTCCCACCGTGATTTTTAGGCCGTGTTTCTTTAATACAAATAATGTCTGGACACTCGCTCTCCATACCATGCTTATCTTTAGCAAGCTGTGGACATCCGGTGCTATGGCTTTGAGCACTGGATTTCATAGTATGTTATGTGCTCTAGAGTTCTTACCTACGAAGAGAAATATGAACTAAGTGTGAAGTTTGGCAAAGCTGGCCTCCGGCATGCGCCCCAGCGTTTCAACCTGAACGTCTCGTTCCCAAATCAACAGTAGCTTTTTTTTTCTTCGCTAGTCATTAAAATTTTGAGGATTTTAAGCAAAGCAACTGAATATTCGCTTATTGGAAAGCTGATCAATTTTAGTATTTCAACTTTTGACAAGCTTTAATTCAATCTCACTATTAATAATTTTATGTGTGCCCAATCGTCAGTCACTTATTTTCATAAATGTCCAATAATTGCACCAGAGATGCTATCTTTATCTTTTTAATGGTTGAATCGAGACAAACTTCATGTGTATTCCATATTTTATTCGAATGAAAAATAACATAGGAAGCGGTACAAATCAGAGGAGGACCCCTAACAGAAGGAAGGGTTCGAACGAATTATTCGTTCCAATAACTAATGTAAACAGTCACATTCTGTTGAACACTTTCGCTTACACTAAAAGTGAATTGCTTCATATTATTGTGAATTATCAAATTGTATTACTTGGCCTCATGGTAAAAATTTATTATCTCAAATTATAGTGAATAATACTGAACATTTTTTTAGCGGTTCTTTTTACTCGAATATATTAAGGACGGCTCAGAGTAAAGTGAGTGCAATGCAACGTCCAAGTTTTTCATCTAATTAACGAATGAAAAAACAAAAATCTATAATGCCATTGTATATCACATCGATCATTCATGATTGAGTTCCATTCATTTATCCATAATAACCGTAGCCGCCACCTCCGAAGCCGCCGCCTCCGAAACCTCCAAATCCTCCTCCGTATCCTCCATATCCTCCGTAGCCACCGTATCCTCCATATCCATAACTCGGCTCAGCTTCAGGCATGGGGAAGGCAGCGGCGTATGCCATGCATGCCACGGCGATCAGGAAGGCGGTGAGAAACTGTACGAAAAAATTCGTTCAACAAATATTCTGTGGTTGTAAAAAAAGAGGAGATATTTAACTTGTCTTTGTAGCATGAACTAAAATATTTATAGCAATGAGAAACTATACATTTTTGAAAGATAAGGTGTTGATTATTTTTTACCGGAAAATATTTAGCAACATTTTGGTGTTTGCTAGAGCTTGTATATGATTTACATGTGCACATTAGTTGCTAGCAAAGTTAATATTTGCACACGTTCCGACAAATATTTGTAAGAAATTAAAACAGAAAAAAAAATTATTACACAAGCACATAAAAATATAGTGACAAACTGGAATTTTCTACTGAAAATGGGCGGTGAATTTGTCATCATCTTCACATTTACGCAACAAATAAAACAAGGGACAAGTGTCATTCTTTGAAAATATTAAACTAATTAGACAACTGATTCTCAGTTTGAAAGTATATCATTGCCTGAGGAAAATGTTTGCGTTCAGCAAACATGACAAAAACTCATTCATAACAGCAGACACGAAAGTCATCAAACAAGACATTAAAGACCACGTTTAATTGATTAAATCCTGGTAATAAAACCAAAGTTAATGCAGTGATACTGAATAATTGGACAATCAAAGTACCTCATTAGACAGGAAAGTAAATGAAAAATATTTAATTACATATTCAGTAAGTTCTTTGCCAAATAAATATTGAAGTCAGGTAAACTTGTGACGGGTAATGTTACGTGGTAAGTTTCCTGGCATTATTTACACAATCACATGGCTAAAACCCATCGAAATGCTCCTTTTGATGTTTTGAAAATAATGTATAAGCACACGGATCATTAGGCTAAAGCAGCAAACCGTATAAGAGTATCTTTAAATATTAATACTCTATTTTTCTTGTTATGTGCCCAAGTCTATGTAAGGACCCACCAGCTTCATGTTTTCGGCTTGCAGAGTAGACCCTTGGTGCGGTAGACCGAGCAGGCTGCAGGAGAAGATTGTTGCAGGGGCTTGCAGTGCCGCCTCTTATAAGCGAGCGGTGGGACCGTCCGGGCCGTGTAACTGGTTTACAGCGGTCAGGACTAAAGCATCTAAAATTCGGGTCTGCCTCAGGCGTTACTCAAAATGACCAGTGACGGAACTGATATGGAAATGTCTAAAAGTTTGGTAGCTATTCAGTTTATTTAATATAGATCAGTTTAAGTAATTCTTGAAATTTCAATAGTTGTAATGTTTGTGTTTCAATGCTCGTCAGCGATGTAAAGAACGCAATTTAAGTATGAGAACTTTAGTCTAAGACATTACCTGTTTATTTCTTAATGTATAGTAAATTAAGAAATATTTTCTGGCACCAAATGCTAGTTAATTAAAGATATGTAGAAAATCATTGATAGAAGTTACAAATTTATATGAAACTGTTTAATTCACGAAAAAAATCGAGAAATTTAATGTATTCAACTAACGAGAAATTGAGACAATTCTGAGTATGGAGAAATGTAATTAAAGCTTTCTTGCTTTAATTAAATATGTAAAATTTTTAATTAATAATTAAATAATAATAATATTTAACTAATAAATTTAATAATTAAATTATTTAAATAAAAGCTTTAATTAAATCGTTGTCATAACACTTTGCACAGGAAGTTTAGATTATCCGAAGGAAATTAGTAAACATTAAAATTTAATTTCGAGTATCTAAAAATTCATTTAGTAATTTGTTGTGGGGCAGTAAATTGCAAGTAAAGATTAGAAAACAAACGATGTAGATAGTCAACGTATCTCGAAATTTAGCATTACTGTGCAATTTCATTACTGGGCAACTACTGTGCAATTGCATCTCAAGATTAGGAAATACATACTGTATTTCCTAATTGCAATACTTAATTAAAAATTCAACGTAAATTCAACGTATATTGCACTTTAGCAACACTTTGCAAGGTCGAGAGGATGTAAAGCATGGAACTCATTACCATCTCGAGCACGCAGCCAAACGAACGTTCAGCGCAGGGCGAGATCCCAGGTAAGCCCGCATGCAGCAGCGCTATTATGGGCGCACAAAATAATAGCTTTTCCAATAGCTTCGGGGAACCCCAACAAATACTGAACGTTTTACTATAAGTAATTAACTAGCTGGTTTACAGGAATTTTACTAAAAAAATAATAGTGAAGAGTGTTGATAGTTGTTGAAGTTGTTGATAGTAACTATGGCATGATGTGTGTTGATAGTAACTATGGCATGAAGTGTGTTGATGTAACTATGGCATGCAGTGTGTTGATAGTAACTATGGCATGCAGTGTGTTGATAGTAACTATGGCATGAAGTGTGTTGATAGTAACTATGGCATGAAGTGTGTTGATGTAACTATGGCATGCAGTGTGTTGATAGTAACTATGGCATGAAGTGTGTTGATAGTAACTATGGCATGAAGTGTGTTGATAGTAACTAAGGCATGAAGTGTGTTGATAGTAACTATGGCATGAAGTGTGTTGATTGTAACTATGGCATGAATTGTGTTGATAGTAACTATGGCATGAAGTGTGTTGATAGTAACTAAGGCATGAAGTGTGTTATAGTAACTATGGCATGAATTGTGTTGATAGTAACTATGGCATGAATTGTGTTGATAGTAACTATGGCATGAAGTGTGTTGATTGTAACTATGGCATGAATTGTGTTGATAGTAACTATGGCATTAATTGTGTTGATAGTAACTATGGCATGAAGTGTGTTGATAGTAACTATGGCATGAATTGTGTTGATNTGTGTTGATAGTAACTAAGGCATTTGCCTCCAAGACAGACGGCAATTACTCTTCCGCCATAATGTGATACGCGTCAGGCATGAGGAAGCAGCGCCCACGCAGCGTTCTAAAGTATACTGTGAACCATGAATGAATTTCAACGACATACATCATGAACCACATTTCACTTGTATAAAAGCTTAATTCATATAACTAATTAACAATGGGTTCATCTGAAGATCCTGAAATGTGGCTTCCCTTTATACGGTAAAAAATTGTTTAATTGAGCTTATATTAATTAGATTAAAATACGATTTTTATTAAGAAATATACACCCTAAAACTGCCGAAGCCAAACATACTGTACTTGGATTCATTTTATGTCGCCCCAGAACCCAACAAAATGTGATCGCCTATATAACGCACAGTTCGAACGAATTTTTTCTGTTGCATTCTCAGACAAGCAAATCGGGTTAAAATTCTGAAAAAAATGAAATTTCTGTAATTAAATACAAGTTTTGATTAATCATTTGTTTTACATTCATAATAGTTTTGCGTTCAAAATTCAAAACACAAATATAAATCTACCCAACTATTGCTTTGAGCCTTTTTTTCCTAACAATGGTTACTGTTTTAACACGTTAAGTGCCGCACGACCCACGTAAGGGTTGCAGTGTCTTTTTCCGGACAAATTCCGCGATTTATTTTTTTTTTAATTCAGTCTGTCGGCAAAAAATACTGATGGCAGTACCACCTCATTCAATTTTAAAAAGTACAGAAAAAAATTAATTTTTGCAATGAAAACTACAAATTTACTAGTATATTTTTAATTACAGGCCTTTTTATTCGCGGATTTGGCCATTTTTAGGCCATCTGGCATCCAATGTAGTCTGTTTACCCGTAGTTCTCGCCACTGATCGAGCCTTTATCTTTCAATATTCCATTCTTCGCCCTTTCTCATGCCGGTTTCAGGACATTTTTCTAATGCGCCGCGGAAATTTCATACGCAAACAAATGTATAAATCTCCGGAAGCCATTCCAGCAGTGAAATCAATAAGTTCGCAATGCTTTTTATTTGTTATTTCTGGCTGGAACACGGCAAACTAAAGAATGTATTGTCGGATATATGTATAAATTGTGTCTCATTTCTGATTCCATATTCGAGACAGTAAATAAAGCTTTTAATAACACATATTGCTACTAAAAATTAATTTTTGGAGAAATCCTTATTAACATTTTGTTTTGATTTGTTAACTAATGGGATTTTAATGTGTGACAGATAACATTTAATGCGCGTCTTCAGCCCATAGTCTCTTATATTTGTAAGACTGCAAGCCGATTGAAAAATTACTGCATAAAATAACGGTTAGTACACAGAGAGAAAACTTTGGGGCCTTGGGTGTCTCAACCGAGAATATCGGTGCCTCGACTGAATTACTTGCTATGCATCGTCTTGTTATTAGTAAATTAGTACAAGAGAACAGCTTAGAATACTATTTAACTACATAATGTGGATCTTGTTAAGAATAAGCACCCCAGACGTTACTGGGGTGCGTATTCTTAACAAGAACATTACTGGGGTGCGTATTCTTAACAAAGTTAATTGAATGAATAAAACAAACAAATTTGGTTCATTTAAACATTTTTTTTAAGAATTACAATTCAATGTAAAAATTACATTGCTTTTCATTAACAAGAAATATTTCTTAACAAGGTCATACGGTGTGTTATGTTTAACAAGATCCCCTAATTCAACATAAATTGTCCAAAAAAGAGGAAACAGAGTGTATAATGTATTGCTGCGAGGTAAAAAGATGGACATGATTAGAACAAATGCCAGGCCGCGGGGTGCTTCCACAGAAGTTGTATTGTGCAGCGCCACCGCTCATGGATGACTAGCTCGAATCTCCACTGCATACGGTAATTTGCCCAGCTACTCTGTAGGCCAGCATGCTGTAAAATTTGTCTATGAATTGCATTGCGTAAAAAGTATTTATTCATAAAATTATGAACAGCCACGTTTCCCAAGCCTCCAATAGAGAAATATTTTTTAAGATTCTGGCAAAATGCGATTACGTCAATGTTAGTACTTTGGCGGCCCATTCTAACATTTGCTCACGAGGTAGAAAACTTAATCAAATCAGTTTCTGACGAGGAGATACGAGGTGAAGTGAGTAATAAATATATATCTATTTAATCAGGGTAGAAGATAAATTTCTAATTTCCGTGTTTCTTATATAGTTTGTTAACGTTTATATATGCTATCAAATACGATTTGTTTCGTGTATCAATGCACTGCTTTTCCATTGTGAATAGTAATGTAAACGAGCGACGCCTACTAAATGTCTCAATACAGGAGTCAATTTCTCTAAGTAAACTCATCGTTTTCGAAGAGACACTAGCGGCGCATCTCGCTAGTCATTTTCTCTCGAGGACCCGTTTGTGAGGTCAGGACTTTTCAGTGTTCACTAGTCATTGATGATCAGTCAGCGGGCTATTTTCTCCTGTATTTATTTCTTATCACTGAGAATTTTCGTCCTACATAACTTGTTAGTATGTGTTCTAAGTCTATATTGTGGCGGGTGTGTTCAATGGATACAAACCACGTTGATTGGAAAATTTAATACTGCATTGGATACAATTACTTTTGCGTGCAAGTTCCATTTTTTTGTGTGTCTAGCGTTTAACTTAGGCATCCTGGCCTCTGACCAAATTTTATATTTTTAGTATTCAAAAGTATTATATTTTTGTATTCCCGTCGTTATAGTTGGGTGCGGTCAAATTTTTGACTTTTTGCGTATACAAAACTTCTCGCAGCTGACTTCAATAAAGAACGTTCTGATTGATGTAACCTCAACGTTTGAATGAACTTAATGTTCGCTACAGGAACACGATTGTGGAGCATAAGCAAGTTGAACGTATCCAATATTCAACTGTCGCCACCATCGATAATTGGCAATTCCCGGCGAATGTTGGAAGTCCTACCACAACAACACAAATATTCGCAATGCAGAACATGTGGCGATGTTCATGACCGAAGCTCCCATAATGGGACGCCAGCTCCAATAGAAGCGGTTTCCATGGCGACGTTGCACCCTGACTAAACTTCTTCCGCTGCTGCATGTCTTTTGTTTTGAAGCTTGTTTATTAAAGAGCGCTGACTTTACCTTCATAATTTGGTATCATTGACATTGTTTCGCTTCAACGAGGTTGCAGACTTCGTTTGTTGATAATTATTATTTTCCTCCCTGTCTTCCATGAGAAGAAACTAAACAAGTATAAAGATCCCTTCTGAATTAATTAATTACAGATCCCTTCTGAATTAAAATTTTTTATCACACTGTGCCATCTTTCTGTTAAATAGTTTCTTCTTTCTAGTTACAACCATGAAATATTCCAGTTTTATTTCGAAAATTCTTTCATATACTTTGGCTTAATAATCAATAAAGAATCGGATAGGGAGGTTCAGCACATTTTTTTCAGGAGCTATCATTCTCTTATAGATAAATAATCAGTCATTTAACTCCTAAATTCCCCGCAAATATTCCAACTATTTTACAAAGCTATAATTCTTTGTAATATCGTTGCCATAAGCTATTGTAATTCAAAGCTATAAGCTATTATAATAAGCAGCAGAGTATCACGCAGGTGTTTTTTTTCTTTGCAGGGTCATTAACTTTAAGAGAAGTTGGCGAGTTTCAAAATTCAATTGCTGGAGAGCAAATTTATTTTGTGGCTTTCATTTTGAAAAAGTTACATTTACTTTCATTGGTTTACATTTCACCCATACACATTTGTACATGCTATCCTGATATTTGTTATGGATAGGTCAATACAAATAAGGCATTGTATTCCAAGGTTTATTCGAATGAAAAGAAACATTACAAGCGGGTACAACTAAATGGAGGACTCTTACTGAAGGGAACTTTAGCTCGAATAATTCAGTTACAATGATAAATTGAAACCTTCGCATTCTGTCGAACACTTGGGCTCATGCTAAAAATTTATTATCTCAAATTATGGTGAATAAAACTGAGAAGTTTCTAATGGTTTTTTAAGCCAGAGAATTAAGGACGGCTCAGAGTCAAGTGAGTACAATGCAACATACACTTATTTCATCTAATTCAGGAATGAAAATCCTAAATCTAAAATGCCATTGAATATCACATCGATCATTCATGTATGAGTTCCGCGCATTTATCCGTAGTAACCGTAGCGGCCGCCTCCGAAGCCTCCAAAACCTCCTCCGAAACCTCCAAATCCTCCTCCGTATCCTCCATATCCTCCGTAGCCACCGTATCCACCGTATCCTCCAAAACGATGTGGCTCAGCCTCAGGCATGGGGAAGGCAGCGGCGTATGCCATGCATGCCACGGCGATCAGGAGGGCGGTGAGAAACTGTACAAAAATATTCGCTTAACAAAAATAGTACAGCAAAAAATGAAAGAACTAGTTCATGTACGGGTAGTGGAAAGGTTCGATGACATACTCAAATTTAAAATTTAAAATGAAAAATAGATGGGTAGATGGGGGATTGTCAATCAAATTCTCATTTACACTACAAACTGATATCGGGCAAGGTGTTGCGTTTCGAAAAAATCTGAACTTCTTAACTCTTAACAACTTGAAAGTTCGTTGTTGGTAAAAGAAAACTTCCGCGTTTAGCAAACATGATTCATAAAATCAGATATTAAACAACAAGACTACGTCTAATTGATTTAATATTGTCAACGATACCCTCAATTATATGCAAATTTTAATAATAGAACAATCAAAATAACCAATAGAAATGGTGAGAAGACGGATAATATTCATTTACATGGTCTGTAAGCTCTTCACGGAATAAATATTATGAACAATATTATAAAATGGCCTTTTAAGTTTACCGGGAATATTTGTACTATCAAATAAGAATAATCCATGTAAATGCATTACTTTAAATGTGAAGATAATGTATGTATAAACACACGGATCATTAGGCTAAAGCAGCAAACCGTATATGAGTATCTTTAAATAATAATACTCTATTTTTCTTGTCATGTGCCCAAATCAATGCAAGGACCCACCAGCTTCATGTTTTCGGCTTGCAGAGTAGACCTTTGGTGTGGTAGACCGAGCAGGCTGCAGGAGAAGATTGTTGCAAGGGCTTGCAGTGTCGCCTCTTATAAGCGCGCGGTGTGACCGTCCGGGTCGTGTAACTGGTTTACAGCGGTCAGGACCTCAAGCATCTAATATTCGGGCTCAACGAACGTTCAACGCTGGGCTTCTTACCAGGTAAGCCCGCAACAGTGCAATTATGGACGCCTAAAATACTATCTTTTCCAATTACCTCGGAAACCCCCACCGGATTACTGAACGTTTTCTTAGAATAGTTAACTATATAGCAGCCTAGCAGGTTTACAAGAATTGCAGCCTTGATCGTTAGTGATGACTCATATTTGGATATGCTCTTTGTAGAACCTATTTTAGATTATGATTTGTTGCTTAATTAATGTTTCAACTTTTTCTATGTTTCATCATAGCCGCAGAGTTGACGTTGAAATATTCTAGAAAATACATATTTAATATAAAAAATTACGCATGCAAATTTTCACATCATCGAATAAATGATAACCAAACCAGGAAATAATGATCACAAGAGTAAGAACCAATGATCATAATGCAAAGAACCACAGTGATCACTCGACAAAGAACTATTAATCACATGACAGAAAATAGAAAGTCATTACAAAACAAAGAACCAATAATCGCCCTACAAAAAAAAAACACTAATCACATAACATGAAAAAGAACCAGTGACCACTCGACACAGAACCAATGATAACCGGATTAAGAACCAATGATCATAATGCAAAGAACCGCAGTGATCACTCGACAAAGAACTATTAATCACATGACAGAAAATAGAAAGTCATCACAAAACAAAGAACCAATGATCGCTCGATAAAAAAACACTAATAACATGACATGAAAAAGAACCAGTGACCACTCGACGCAGAACCAATGATAACCGGATTAAGAACCAATGATAAACAGATTAAGAACCAATGATATTCAGACGAAGAACCATTAATCGCACGGTATAGAACCAATGATCACAAGGCATTCATCAAACTAACGATCGCACGGCAAAGAACCGGTAACACAAGTCATAGAACCAATGATCACAGGACATACAACCATTTCGAGTTGCCACTCCACAGAGAATAGAAACAAAAGCGAGTAAATTTTCTCAGCGTCTAGAATAATACAGGATACTCAAGGACATGTGAAGGGCAAGGTCATTTACTCGTTCCTTGAATGAGCCGCACGCACAGCGCAGTCTGTGGGTGTCCCTACCGGAGTGAATGAACCTTCGCTATATGAAGCTTCAAAATAAGATGCCAAATAATTTCCAAATTTAGCTATTTATTTTTGCTGCATCAGGATTAGTTCTTAGTGCATCGAGAACATCCTGACACAACGCTAAGGATTGTGTCAGTAGGTAGCAGCCCCTGCAAAGAATTGAAATAAAATCCCTATTCTTATTCTCTGCGACAGATAGTTCGTGTATTTCAAACTATACTGCCTAGGTTCTCCCCTTTTTATTTTTATATGCTGAATTATTATTCAGCATATATTTTAGCATATTTCTATTATTTTTATATGCTTAGCTAAGCTGAATGGATTTTGCTGGATGAACTTTAGCAGAAACGCTAGGGCGAAATTAACCGCCTCAGGCTCACGCATGTCGCGGCTGACGCGCGGTCTGGAAAATCCAAATTGTACTTCAAGCCGGGGTCGGGGGGTCAGGTCGTTGACTTCTGAACTTTAAATGGTGTCTTCTTTAAAATACAATGAAATAAAACATAAAAAAAATTGGAATTATCATATTCTAGCCTAGTATCCAATAGTTCTATTCGGTTCCTATAGCCATTTTAATGACTCGACTTCGTGAAACTTACTTTTTTGGCCGAGCTAATGATCACCGTATTAAAACTTGCAATATGCTTTTGTAATTGGTTAGTTTTCATCGTTGCATTGAGTCAAATTCTTCACAAAAAATCTACGGAAACAAGCGAATAATATTGCTACAGTTATGTACTGCACACTCAGCTCTGGAAACTTGTATGAATTATGTTTGGTAGTTATTTGAGTGCTCAAGACCAAGAGTTGTTTTGAAAGAACTTTACTCAAGAAGCTAATTTTGTATAATACGGCATATTATGAACTGAAGACGAACGGCAAAGTTCAAGCTGACGATGAATTGAATTGTATGAGCTGTAAATGAACTGCATAGTTTGAGCTGGAAGTAAACAGCATAGTTTAAGCTATAAATGAACTGCATATAGTTTGAGATGAAAATGAACAGCATAGTTTAAGCTGGAAAATAACTGAGAGTTTGAGATGGAAATGAGCTGCATAGTTTAAGCTGGACATGAACTGCATGGTTTGAGCTGCATATGAACTGCATAGTTTGCGCTGGAAAAGAGCTGCATAGTTTGCGCTGGAAAAGAACTGCATAGTTTGAGCTGGAAAAGAACTGCATAGTTTGAGCTGGAAATGAACATCATAGTTTGAGCTGGAAAAGAACTGCATAGTTTGAGCTGGAAATGAACTGCATAGTTTGAGCTGGAAATGAACTGCATAGTTTGAGCTGGAAATGAACTGCATAGTTTGGCTGGAAAAGAACTGCATAGTTTGAGCTTTAAAAGAACTGCATAGTTCGAGCTGGAAATGAACTGCATAGTTTGAGCTGGAAAATAACTGCATATATTTCGAGCTCGAAATGAACTGCATAGTTTGAGCTGGAAAAGAACTGCATAGTTTGAGCTGACGATGAACCGCATGCATCGTTTGTGCTCAACAAGAACTGAGTAATTTAAGCTGAAGATGACTTGCATTGTGTGAGCCGAAATGAACTGCATGCCACTGCAGCCGAGGATAATGGAACGTGTTCAGTCTTATCAGATCCTAATGAGTTCAGCCAACCCTGAATGGCTTCACCGTTAATTTGATGTGGCCCGCATGATTCAGCCTTTCTTTATCAGGGAACCCTGGTTCCATTAAAATTCTTGAATAAATAATGGTAGGCTGCTTTTTGAGTACTATGAAGTTCTGGCATGATAAAAAATGCACACTCATGCGAGTTAAAATCTGCTTTATAAATCCCATATGATATCAGCCAATACTTAAAAAAGAACAGGGTTTATTAATTTTAAAACTCTCTTAATATTAATTTAGTTTACAAGTATTTCTTCAAAACAACATTCAACTTGTATATTGTGATTAGAGCTCAAAATATACTGGATTATGTCTCATTCATTCTCCGAAGTACGTAAGCTTTTCCGTTCACGAGTCGTCATGATATCCAAATGAGAGGCGCACGGCAGAAAAAAAATAGTTATTTGCCATCACGGAGACAATATACTAAACTTTTTTCTGAAGCCGTTGACATGGGATGGGATAGCATATATATATGAACATTTTTCTCGACCATGTAACTTGGAAAGGGACAGTATGAACATTTTCCTAGAACATATGACTTGGAAAGACACAGTATTTACATTTTTCTATTAACATGACTTGGAAAGGGATAGCATGAACATTTTTCTCGACCCTGCATGCGGAATGGACATCCGGCCTGTGAGTGGCACTCTTTAATTGTGGAATACTATATACTTAGGTTCGGCCTGGGTAATTGCGTTCATAAAAGCTATCGAAATTCAGCGACAAAAAATATCATTCTAGTGTGATAGCCTGTTTATTTGCTTGCATTTCAGCTTTCAAAAATTCTGCCTTAGTGTATAACCTTATTCAGTGCATGCAGGTGTTTCAGTCTAGAATACTGATTAATTGTTTTAAATTTTATGATGAAAATTTATGTAAGGTAGACTTCAAAAAGCGATGAAATATCCTTTAGACGGTACAAGACTTTACCGCGCAAGCCAGTTATTACGAAAATATTTGTAATGAATAAAGAAATCTAAATAAACATTAATTACCACGTCAACCCTTCATCTCTCTTTGAAATGCATCGTATATCACTCAAGCTTCATCTCATTTGACTTCAAATGCAACGCATCATCGTTTTGGAGAAAAGGGCCTTAGAATTGCGAGAAGAATGTATGCTGGCTGGATAAGATATCAATGCCTGGGAAACCATACTATTATTTTGACATCCATGCACAAAAGCGCTATCATAAAATGTTAATGAAATTCCCATGTCGAATCATCAAATGTGAATAATAACTTATTATATTTACTAATATATGTAATGCCCTGCATTTCCCTTCTAGCTTGCTAATGCATTGTAGATCGCA